TCTCTCTCTCTCTCTCTCTCTCTCTCTCTCTCTCTCTCTCTCTCTCTGACACTCTTACTGTGCAGTTCAAGCTGACCTTGAGCTCACTTTGTAGCCCAGGGTGTGGTCTTGAACTCACAGTGATCCTCCTGCCTCAGCCTCCCAAGTGCTGTAATAGTCTATTAGCTCTTAATTTAGCTAATTTCTGAAGGTCCCACTGTTACTTAGTGTTTGGGTTCCAACCACTTCAGCTCCCCAGGATCCCTGGAGACCAGTCTTTCCTGAAAGGGAGCAAGGCTTTATTGAAAGCTAGCGCTAAAGGAGACAGAGGGGCCTCTTACTACCTCAGATCACATCTCACTATGTGCAAAGGCTTCCACAGTTGAAGAGGAGAGGGAAAAATACAGTGAGACAGCAGCAAGTTTCCCGGCTGTTTTGTCTGTTTGCCTTCCTCCACTACAGCCCTTTGCCCATTCTCAGCACCTCCCTTACTGGTGGAAATGAAATGAGCTCCAGCCTTCCTAGGACGGGCACCTGCTCATTCCTTCCAGGTGTGCGTTTTCTGTCCACTTCTTTGAGTGAAGGAGAGGAAGCTGTGGTTACTTACTCTCTCAGCCTGAGGAAGTTTGGAGAAGCAGCTCATTTCCCTTCCTACTTCCTTCTTCCCATCTTCCTTCTCTTCCTTTTCTTCTTCCTTTTTAATGTGGTTCTGGGTATTGAACCCAGGGACTTCTCAGTGTGTAAGATCCCCAGCCCCTTTTAGGTTTTATTTTGAGACAGTGGTTCTGCATCACTAATTGGACAGGCTGGGCTGGGACTTGCCACCCTCCTGGCTGAGCACCCCAGGCTTTAAAGATCTATTTTACTCTCTCACTTACACAGCAGGTTCTATGAATTTTTCTGGATCCTTCCTACAAGGCTGAGAAGTCAGTTACTCAGGCTCTTCCCAGTCTTCCCACTCTGTACCTCCACATGGCTTTTTAATAACCCCGAGTGGAAGTGCACCTTTATTAGCAGAGCTGAATTCTTGGGTCCAGATGTACAGAACAAGACCAGATCCAGAAAGTACAAGCACAGACAGGGACCTCTACTCAACCCAGAAGGGAGTCACAGCTCTGGCCAGGGTGTGTCAGATCAGCAGCTTTGTGAACAAGAAAAAGGGATCGCTAATCTACAAAAGGTTCCCACCCAAAGATACGTCAAAAACTCCTCTCTAGAGCATCCATGCAAATTAGGAATTCAGGCTTGCAAAAGAGCATCCAGTCCTGACTGGTTAGTGTCTGAGCTCAGTGGTAGGCAGCTCATTGCTCAGCTTTGGCTATAAGGGGAGGGCAGGTTTCGGGGACACAGATCCTTGTGTGTATCTGTGCTAGTGGGATGTTTGCAGCTTGCTTTTTTTTAGGATTTTAGGTTGTTGTTGTTTTTTTTTAGAACCAGGGATTGAACTTCCCTTGCGCTTGCGCTTGCGCTTGCCAGGGAAGTGCTTATTCTACTAAGCCATCTCCCAGCTCCTAAGATAGGGTCTTGTCCTGTAGTTCATTTGTTTTTTTTTTTTTTAAGTAATTTTATTGAGAAACAAATAACAATGAGACAGTTTCAAAACTGAGTATACTAGCACAGTTTCAGTCATTAATACATTGCATATTGTTGTCTTAGTGGTTATTCATTGTATAAAAAGCAGACATGATATCCTGTCCACAAACAGTATTAGGACAAATCTCTCTTATTCAATGAATCAAGAGAATGCAGCTGTATATCTATCCTATTTTGAATATATAGATACAAAATGTTCATTCATTTGTATCTCCCTTTTTTGTTTAGTTTTGTCAGAGAAGGGTATTCCATTGTCATTTAAATATTGTAGGTACTTGAATTCAGCAAAATAATCCAATATAGTCCAGAAGTCTATAATACTAGTGGGTTTTCCATAAGACTGGCAATGTCAGAAGTTGTTGACTTGAGCCTTTTACTGCTCAGCATATTAATATGGCTTTACTTTTTACATTTCGTTTTTATACTTTTCTGCTGGGTGGTTAAGACCAAGGTAAAGCAAGACCTCTATAACAAGAAATGTAACTTTTGTATCTGATAAGGTCAGTCAAATCCCCTCGGGATTTATCCTGAAGCCCTGTACCGCAGTTTGTAGATCCTTTGTCAGTGTCAGCCATGTCGATGAATCATGGCCATTGCTTGACAAATTTGCTATCTGTGAAAGCCTGAGAGAATGTTTTCTCTCCATGAGACTCTCCTTAGGCACACTCTACATCATTGGTCACTTTCCTCTGTGGCCCTATAATCTCCTGATCAGAAATTTTGGGACACAACTGAGTTACATGATGTTACAGTACAGGTTCTCCTATGTTCTGAGTCTTCACTGACCTTGAAAGTCTAGGGCCAAAATGTTGGCTATCCTTGTACCCCTGTCATGTAGTTCAGACTGGCCTTGAACTTACTATGTAGCCCAAGCTGGCCTTGAACTCACAGAGATCCTACTGCCTCCCAAGCTCTGGGATTACATGTGTGCACTGTCACTCCTGGCTTGCAATTATTGTATTTTTAACTCCAGGGTAGAGCCTGAGCCCTGGGTCCCTATTTAATTATTTGTTTGGTTCTTCTGTGAAAGGTCAGTACAGCCCCTTTCCTAGTATTTCATTCTATTTCATTTTGGGTGATCCTTGGCTGTCTTACCTTGGGCTGATGGACAGGAAGAGCACACAGTCTTGGAAAAGAAATTAAAGCAAAACAACACAACCAAAAGCATATTATGTGTTTTAATACTTGTCATTTCTGTACTGTGTTTTTATGTTTCTCAGTTGAATGGCAACTTCCCATTATTTTGGAAGATTTAGCTGAATGTTATGATTTTTTGCTATATATTGTGACATTTTGCTACTTCAGAATAGTTTTATTTTTCGGTAACAATTTTCTAGTCCAGATTATTTCTGAATTTTATAAAACATAGGTTTTTTGACTTTGTGTGCAAAAATATGAATTAACTTAAGGCAAATGTATATTCTGTGTACTTAATTATTGCACTGCATTCCAAACCCATCAAAGGAATCGCATCTACATAGCACATGTCACATCTACATACATTGTTTTCACACAGGTTGTGGCTCCTAAGAAAGCCCGCTTAGCGGAAGCTCAGAAGTCTCTAGCTGAAACCATGGAGCTTTTGAACGAGAAGAGAGCGGAGCTGGCGGAAGTAGAACATCACTTGGAGAATTTACAGAAGACATTTCTTGAGAAAACGGAGGAGAAGGCTGCTTTAGAAGATCAGGTGGAGCTCTGTGCTAAGAAACTTCAAAGGGCTTCGCAACTAATTGGAGGACTGGGTGGAGAAAAATCAAGGTCAGATTTCTCCGTGTTTTCACAAGATTGAAGAATGTCAGGCTTGAATACGTGATCTTCTTTGGGTATTTATTACAGTTACTACAGATTTCAGAATGACTGGCTGAGAGTGTGGGCCATTCTACAAGGCAGTTGGCCAGGCCCCTCTGAAGAGGATCAACAATGCTGACAAAGGGTGGCGTCTTAGTTACCTTTCTTGTTGCTGAGACAAAGTACCCAATACCCAAAGTTAAAGGAGGAAAGATTTTTTTTTGGCTCAGAGTCTGTAGAGGCTTCACTCCATACCGGCTGGCTTCAGTGCAGGGCGGCACAGCAGAGTGGTGCCACAGAGCAGAAATAGTCCATGGTGTAGGAGGCGAAGGCAGCAGGCAGCTAATGGCCTGCCTACCTTTCCCTGTATTGCGTCCACGCTACCAGCCTTTTGAGTGGTGCCTCTGAGAACTCTGTTAATCCCAACCAGTGGCCTATTTTAGTATCATATGCCCTTAATCCCAGCATCACACACTCTAGATCCATCTCATTCCAAAAAGCTCCATCTATGAGTACATGAAGCTTTGGGGTCACCTTCATATGCAGCCATAGCAGATTATATTTGTAGTTTACTTTTAAAGAATTTTTAAGGCAAATAAGGCACATATTAACAAATTTTAATCTAAACATCATATGTTTGTTATACAGTGTGCTTTACAATTTTATCCAGATGAGGTGGTATATCCCTGTAATCTCAGTACTGGGGAGGCTGAGGCAGAAAAACTGTGAGTTTGAGGCCAGCCTGAATTGCATAGCAAGGCCTTGTCTCAAAAAATATTTTACAATTGTACGTATGTTCAAAATTTTATGTAATCAAATCTTTAGGGAGACTATTGGATGTATAGCTCACTTGATTAAAATTGACTTCAAAGAAGATACAACTGGCTTGATTTAGCAAAGTCAGTTATTATTTTAACTTCTTTCCTTGGACTGGATGGCAAGCTATTGCGTGTATTATCTTTGGTAAATGGGTGGCATTATAAGGTGATATGTCTTTGGCAATACTTTAGAGTTGAGGATGGATAATTTTGGAACATACTTTTTATTATGAGGGTTTCATTCAGTGGAAAAATGTGAACCTCAGTCATTCTATCAATGAGACAGAGTTTCAAAATAGGCTTTATTTTCCCTTTAAAATAAAAAGTAATAATCTCAACTTCTGTGGAGGTTAAATTAAAAAGGTTTTAGTTGACAGTCTTAACAGTACAATGCATGCCATGCCAGCCCTGCCCCTGGGGCGCACTGAGATGGCGACTGAGACTGGGCATGGTGGCGCATGCCTGTAACCCCAGCACTTGGGAGGCTGAAGACAGGCGGATCACTATGAGTCCGAACTATGTAGTGAGACCCTATAGACCCTGTGGACCCTTACTAAAAAATAAAAAAAAAAAATTGTACAATGTTATTTATAGCATAGCAGTAAATACTGAAACAAATGGTATGGCTGCTAGTCCAAACCATCCTAGAGAAAATTCTTAGGTAAAAATACTGGTGTTTTGCTTGATTCTGTTTATTCTGAAAGGCCAAATCCTGCCAGAAATATCTAATATTGTAATAATGAAAGGTGGATTTTTATTTCTATAACATATATATATATATATATGTATGTATATATAACATTTATAGAGATACATATATATAAAACATATAGATTGCATATAGATAGATAGATAGATAGATAGATAAATAAATTTGAAAGTAGAAGGAATACAACTTCTTTACATTACAGATAAGCTGACGTCCCACATTTCATACCTTTCGCTCTAGAATGTGGACTGAGACCACTGGCTCTTTCAGCTACTGTCTTTCGTCATTTCCACCGTGACTCTGTTCTGCTTTTTGATCACACAGGTGGGCCCAGGCTGCCGCTGACCTTCAGGTCACATACATAAACCTGACTGGCGACGTCTTGGTGTCAGCAGGAGTAATCGCCTACCTTGGTGCTTTCACTTCTGGCTTCCGACAAATGTGTACTAAAGACTGGAGCTTATTGTGCAAGGTACTGGTACTTTCTGTGTCCGAACATTCAAAGAAAAAAATACAACTCAAAATGTGAGTTGAACTCTTTGGGAGAAAGGATGATAATAAGGACAAAGGAAGAGAAACTGAAAATATAGGGCCTTCTTTTTTTATTTTTTGCTGCTTCTTTAGTCAGTAAAATACTGATCCGTAGTCCAACTTTTTAAACTCTATTTCTTTTTCTGGTACTTGAGAATTATTACATGATAGCTGTTGACAATTAAATCAGTACTTTAATTTTTAAAATATTTTAATTACATAGATGAAAGAAAACATTAGATTTTTTTATTTCTTACAGGAGAAAAAAATTCCATGTTCAGAGGAGTTCTCCTTAAGTAAGACCCTAGGTGATCCGGTGAAAATTAGAGCTTGGAACATTGCTGGATTACCCACAGATACATTCTCTATAGATAATGGAGTGATTGTTGATAACTCTAGACGCTGGTAAGGAACATAAAGTTTTAATCTTTCCAGTCTTTTATTTGAAAGTTTTCCAATGTACATAAAAATTGAAAGAATTTATGATAGGCAGCCTTATGGCTGCCATCTCCTGGAACATGCTAACAATGCAGTTAGCATTTAGCATGTGCTGCTCAACCACGTCTCAGTCTACTCCATTCAATCCACCAACATCTGTTTTATGCATTTTAGTGTACGTTATAGACAGAGCTGTATTTTCTCCTGGACACATCAGCATGCACATCATTAGCTACAGTTCAGTATTTTTTACATTTCTGAGGCACAGTTTCACACACTGAGATATACAGAACTTACATATGCTACAGTGGGCTTTAACAAAAGTGTACACCTGTGAAGCTCAAACCTTATCAAGATACATAAATAGCAAGCACCTGGGAAGCTCATTATTGACCCTTTCCAATAAATACCTACCTGCACCATCTCTGGGAAATTATTGTTTTATTGTTTCCCACCATGAGTTATACCTGTTATAGAAACTCCACGTAGAAGTGGAATCATATGTATGTGCTCTGTGTGTAAAGCTTTATCCATTATGCATAATTTTCTTAAGAATTATCCATGCTATTATGTGTATTGGTTCTTTGTGTCTGACTTTTATTGCTGAGTAGTATTCTATTATATAAATATACTACTGTTTATGCATCCTCCTAAAGAATGAAAAAATGTATATCTCAGCTATTTCTTATTTTCAGCTATATAACATTTATTTTTGCTGTATAATTCTACTCATTTTCAGGATACTCTAACTTAATAGTGTGCAGTTTCACAGATATCTTTTTCATTTATTATCATTGATAGCCTAGTAACTTAACTTTCAAAATGATTTTTGTTGCTACTTTTAGTTGATATAAGTTTGAAAACCTCAGAAATTATTTCCCTCCAAGAAATAGTCTCCTGTAATAGTTATTTAGTCATGTTGTCATATAATTTTGTTTTTTCACAGGGCCATTTCTCAAACAAACTGTGATAAATACTCTTGAGTTCCTGAAGTCATCAGTTACTATTCTAAGTGGCCCATGCTGTCCTGACATTCCTGAGTTTATAGATGGGAAAACTTAAGAATGACTTACTAATTTTAAAGTTAGTGACATAACTGAACTAATAAATGATAGAGTCAGAATCTGAACCCAAGCAATCTAACTTTCAAATCCTTGGTTTTTGGGGGTTTTTTTGTTGTTGTGGTTTGTTTTGTTTTAAGAAATGTTCAGAGGGAGACAGCTCAGCAGTTTAAGTGCCTGCCTGCCAAGCGTAAGGTCCTGAGTTCCATCCCTCATACCAAAACCAACAAACAAAAAATTTAGGGCTGGGCAGGTAGCTTAATAGCATGAGTGTCTGCCTGGCAAGCACAAGGTCCTGAGTTCGATCCCCAGTACAAAAAAAAAAGTTCAGACTTTATTTGTACATGTCTCCATTTCATGCAGTTTACAATTGTCTCGAGGAATGGTTACATGTATATATTACAGCACGTTTCTTTTTCTTGTTTTAAAATCCCTTTCCCTTCCTATCCTCTCCCTCTCTCCTCCCTCCTCTTCCAGTTAACCTATCCATTTTCATTCCTGTTGATATCATTTGTCTTAGCACATGCCATGGCCTATAATGTTTACATTAATTGGGGTTATTAGGTTCTCGTACATGGCATCCTTTTGTTCTTCATTTCTTACATTTCTTCTTTAATTCTTATGTCCTTCTTGTTTCGCTTCCCCTTTCTCCATCCCTCACTCTTGTTCCTTGGGATCACTTTCTGATTGCTAGAGAGCCAATCCTTTCTAGCCATCCTTTATCATTTTCTTTATCATGTACTTTGTCTCACTGAAATGAGAGCTACTGTAAGGAATTTAAGCATATATGTCTGGTTTATTTAACTCAACATTTTATTTTCTAGGTGCATTCATTTTCCTACAAACGTCTCAAATCTGTCATTCTTTATAACTGAGTAGTATTCCACTATATTATTATTAAGGAGATTGGCCTACAGTTCTCTTTTTTAATTAGGTCTTTATCCAGCAATCAGGGTAATACTTGGTAGCACTCCATACCTTTCAATTTCTTTGAAGAGCTTGAGGAGTATTGGTGACATTCTTATGTTACTGTTTTGTAGAATTCAGTGATGAACCCATAAGTTCCTGGAGATTTTTTAGTTGGTGGATTCCTTGCTACAGTGGAAATTTCATTGTTTGTTATTGGGTTAGGTATATTCATGTCTTTTGAGTTAGTTTTTTCTATTAGTTAGTTTTGGTAGTTTTTAATGTGTCTAGAAATCTGTTCATTCTTAAAAATTTGCTAATTGTTCAAATATAATTTTTCAAAGTACTTAGTATCTTCTAGATTTCCACAGTGTCTGTTGTGTCAAATCCTTGCTCTAAGGGTGAGAGAGATAGCTCAGCAGCTTAAATGCCTGCCTGGCAAGTGCAGGGTCCTGAGTTTGATCCCCAGTACCCCCCAAAATCCTTGCTCTTTATCCTAAGATGAAATATGGAAAAGGATATCACACTTGCTGTTGTTACAACTATAATGCAAATTTAAGTCTTTTGAAATTGGAATTAAATTAAAGATATAAGGAAATCTTGACTTCTAGCTATAGCTAGTCTTAGGCAAGAGTTTTCTGCCTCTCTATAGGAGTAGGACAACTCAACTTAGTGTTTGTTTGTTTTGTGATACCAGGGTTGGAACTTGGGACCTTACGCTTGTGGGGCAAGCATTTATGCCTCTGAGCTATATCTCCAGCCCCAACATTTCGACTTAATAAGGACTGATAAAGGTATGAAATTTGGCCCAAACGTTTTCCTACTTCTGCCCTAGAGGCTGAGTTTTCCTCTTGACCTTCTTTGAGCTATAATGTATCATTTTTTAAAATATTCATGTAAGGTTGTATAAGATAGAATCAGATTTCTTTTGAAGTAAACAAGAATCTCTTAATTATTGTATTGCTGAAAACAGTGATCTCAGCATTACCAAGAGCATTGATTAATTTGTAGGTATTATTGCTTTTTGCAATGGGATGAACAAATACTGTATTTTTTTATTTATAAGGGCATATAAAAGGAAAAAATTCCCTTGCACTTGCCAGAGAAGCACTTATTCCACTGAGCCATCTCCCCGGCCCCCCACATTCTTTACCCAACAGAAAGCACAAGGTTTGCAGTTTTAGTATGAAATTCAGTTAACCCATGACACTCTACTAGCTCTTTAATGAATTGTTGTCAGCTATTGTTATTCTGCTGTACTGTCAAACTTTGGAAGTTCATCTCCATATCCACCTGTACCCTTGTCTCCATTAACCATACTCCTTCCAACCCTTTTCCCTAAATCCTTCAGGCTTTGACAAACACTCAGCCCTTCCAAAAAATCATGTATTCTAAAACATAAAGTCTTTACTACACTATCTTAGAAAAAATTCTGAATAGGTTTCAATTATATAGCAGACTACCTAAGGAACTAATCTGAAGATAACATCATGCAATACAGCAACCATTGTTGAATTCCTATTATTTTGTTTAGTGAAATTTTGTATCTTTTCTAATGCTGTTTTTTTAATTACTGTTTTGTATTCTTTTTAAAATAATTTTAAAAAACAAAGTGGAAAAATTAAAGCACAAAACAGTTAGGTAATTTGCCTAATGTTATCCTAAGACAATAATTTGTTCATTTAATCAGCAAATAATTGTCTAGTACTTGTAAGGCTTAGTGTGGCAGGGCACGGTGGCCATGAAGATAAACGTGGGAAACTGAGTTGCTTGGGGTCAAATTCTAGTCCTGTAGCTCACCAGGTATGCATCTTGGGCTATGTTACTAAACCTCTGAATATTTCAACTGTAAACTGAGGATAAGAATAGGGGTTGTTGTTTTTTCTTTTTCAAAATTATATTTTCATTAGTTCATGTTTGTAGTACACAGTGATCCTATTCACCCTGGGAGTTAGTAACACATCTTCACTCTTTGTGTTATCCCCCTCCTTTTCACCTTCCTTTCCAGCCCTTGGTCCTCTTCCCATTTGCAAAAGATCCATTTTCCTGTGTCCTATTAACTTTTTTCTCTGTCTCTCTTTAAGTGATGTAGGGGCTGGGAAAATAGCTCAGTGGCACAGCACCTGCCTGTTAAGTGCAAGGTCTTGAGTTTGAGTCCTGGTACCAAAAAAATCCAAAACAAAAGATAAATGATTTATATTTTGAATTTCTCATATAAGAGAAATCATGTGATACTTAGCTTGTGTGTCTCATGATCTCAGAGAGTTTATGAAAATGAAATGAATTAATTGTTCATAAACTGCTTAAAATAGTCAAGCATATAGTAAGCGCTACCTGGGTATTTAGTCAATAAGATAAATCTTAAACTAATGCATTAACTAATTAATTAATACCATAAGGTTAAGAGTAAATTCATGGTAATAACTGAATAAACAACTTTATAATGTACAGACATGTACTACAGTAATAACTAGCATGGTTATAGATTTATTTATTTGGTACAGGGTCTCACTATGCAACATGGCGTTTGGTACCAGGGATTGAACCCAAGTCCTTGAGCTTGCCAGGCAGGTACTTAGATCACTGAGCTATCTCTCTAGCCCCAACATGGTGATACTTTAAATTGTCTGTTGTATTCATGAAGCTTTTAGGGATGTTTCTATAAACTGTTGTGCATTTTCTGATTATATTTGAATGTGAACATTTTACTCTAATGATAAAAAATCTTTTTGTTTGTAACTTTCCAAAATCCTGAAAAAGCAAGGAAAAATATATAGAATTGTAAAACATTAAACATTCTATTTGAAAATTCTGAAATACAAGAAATGCAAAAAAAATTATATAGCAGACATACCCTGGACACTTACTTCATAGTTTTATTTGTAAACTGGGAAAATTCTTTATAATCTTATGGATCTCTTGTTATAAAATTTTAGCAAATACTTTGTAGTAATATTTTTCATACTATGTCCACCAGTGTTATATATTAAAATTACTTTGTTGGAGAGAGCATAGTTAGCAGATTCATGAAGTCCTCCTCCTTTCAACTCTGAGCTAGTTTTGGAATCTTAAAATCTTGGGAATGGACTCCATGAGACCGAATTTCTTCATTTGAAAAGTAAATAAGAATAAAACTCCTTCTCACTTTTTCTCAAGAATTATCTGAAGATTAATCCTGGTAACAGATGTGAAATATTGTGTATTTACACAGATTGATGGTGTTGTCATTTAAATTACACAATTTTTAGGAAATCTCAACATCTTGTATTCTTTAAGAATATCTGTTTTATATTTTTTAGGCCTTTAATGATTGACCCCCAGGGTCAAGCCAATAAGTGGATCAAAAACTCTGAAAAAGAAAATCAGCTTAATGTTATTAAGCTATCAGATTCAGATTATATGAGAACTTTAGAAAACTGCATTCAGTTTGGAACTCCACTTCTATTAGAAAATGTTGGTGAAGAACTGGATCCCTCTTTGGAACCTTTACTGCTTAGACAAACTTTTAAACAAGGTAGAAGTCAATTAATTTTAGTTAAAAAATTGAATTATCTTTGAGGCATAAAAAAGTTTGTAAGTTATTAATAATGTTAATACAGATATTCTTTGTTTAGCAACCTACTTGTTTAATGTTGGAACTTATGACTGAGGCTGTTTAGACTTACCACTTTTTTTTTGTACAGTCTGTATTTCTTATTTACAGACCCTCAAAGTCTTTTTTTGTTCATTATACCTCATTCACAGAGTATAATAATATTTGCTAATCATCTCATACACTATAGTAATGTAGTTTTATGTTCTGTTATATGTTATAGTACTTCATGTAAGAGTTATACAAAAAAGTCATGAACTTGGAGTTTCCTTTGGCCATTTCTTTGATTACTACTATAATATATATATACTATCCACAATTCCTCATTTAGCAACTAATTCAATGAGTGACCTGGACTCAGGAACAGAAATAGGTCATCATACAAGGGATGTCTGTAACTCAAAACTTCTGTCTATTGTTATAAGTGAAAAATTAGAACAAGATACATTGGGGATGAATCTTGTGTTCTGAAATGAATGCCTCATCCTTTCCTCTTTGGCCTGATCACATATAGAAGCTTATTTAGACAGACATAAAGAAGCTGAAGCCAGTTTCAGCCGTCCTGGCATTCCTTTATCCTGTGACCATTGAATTACTGTGAATAGTAGTGTGGTAAATGCAGAGCTGAGATGAGTTTAGATAAATGTTGCCCACCTTATATCCTTCTGCTTATGAAAATTTTCTCTCTGCAAAGTTGTATTTTTTTTTCAGTTACTGGAGATTGAACCTAGCACCTCCTCACTGAGCTACTGTATCCTAAGGCTATAAAGCCTTTTTATATAAATAAAAAATAGAACAAAACCCAAAAACATGTGTCCTCATTAGGTTGCCCAGCCTGCTTGAAATTTGATGAAGGAAACCCAGATGGAAACTTCTTTGACAAAAGCTCTATGACAAGAGAAAATGTTTTACACTTCTCCAGAATGAATCCTGCTGTTACAATTCCTTACTTGTATCTGTGTCTATGAAATGTTTTAACCTCTTTTCTACCTCAAATTATGTTACAATTCTGTTTGTAAATTAGGTAAGGCCTTTGAAGAACGTAGGAGGGTCTTTGTAATTTTAGCTACTTATTATGCATTTGTTTCTGAAATATAGGAGGCATTGATTGCATCCGACTTGGTGAAATCATTATTGAGTATTCCTTTGATTTCAAATTTTATATGACTACAAAACTGAGAAATCCACACTACATGCCAGAGCTGGCTACAAAAGTATCTTTGCTCAATTTTATGATAACTCCAGAAGGACTTGAAGATCAATTACTAGGTATTGTGGTTGCAAAGGAGAGGTATGCTTTTTCCTTAGATGCTTCCAAGTGGTCTGGCAAAGAATATTTATGGGCATTAATATTTGTATTTTATGATTAGTTTGAAACTGTTAAATTTCATATTTTGTTATCATAAGTTAAATAATTATATGCCATGCTGGTCCCACCCCTGGGGTGCACTGAGACAGTGATTGAGACTGGGCGTGGTGGTGCTGCACCTGTAATCCCAGCACTTGGGAGGCTGAAAACAGGAGGATCACTATGAGTCCGATCTGTGTAGTGAGATCCTGTAGACCCTGTAGACTGTGTACTAAATTTTAAAAAAAGTTAAATAATTATATTACCCTTTCAAAGTAACCACTAGGTACTAAGTTATAAGCCAGCCATGTTATATATGAAGCTTCTAGTATGAGCAGTAGGATTTAGTTACATGCCACAATTTCTGTCTTGTATCTGATTGAGCCAGAAATTTCACCCCTAGTAATCTGTCATGGATAGAATCAGAAATACATCTGAATAGTCAGCTGGGGGCATAGCTCAGGAGTATTTGACTACAGAAATACATCTGAAGACTTGCATACAGAATGTTAGTGAAGTTAGAAACTACTTGAGAGAAGGAAAATCAGGGTTCAAAAATATACACACTGTAGGTAATGTGATATTTAAAATTTGATAAATGGAGCTGATTGTGATGTCATACATATTTATAATCTCAGAGAACATAAGAAGACTGCAAGTTCTAGTCCTGTCTGGGGAACTTAGTGAAACCTTGTTTCAAAATAAAAATTTAGAAATGGCTAGGGATTTAGTTCAGTGCAAAGGCCCTGGGTTCAATCCCCCATAGAACACTATACCCTCAAGAAGATGAATATCCATCTATATCTCTATCTCTCTATCTATCTATCTGAAAAAAATTGAAAAGGAATGTACTTGAATGCTAACAGCGACAATTCCAGGTGTGGTGAGATTATGGGTTATTTTTGTTGTTTTCTTGATTCTTTATAATTTTAATAGCTGCATATAACTACATATATTTTAATGAGAAAAATATAAAACCCAGAGAGGCTCCAGTAAATAATTGCTTCTGGAAGGGTATCTTTGGTTCCCTTTCCCCTTGAAACTTAATATAATATCAAATAGTCTATTACATTAAATGAAATTAAAAGTGAGCCTATGGGGGGCCAGGGAGATAGCTCAGTGGAATAAGTGTTTGCCTGGCACGTGGAAGGTCCTGAGTTCAATCCCTGGTGCCACCAAAAAAGCAAAAGTGAGAATATGTAACTATGAGAAGTGTTTCATTTCCAATATTTAAATCCCACTCGTATTGTAAGACAGAACTGTCATAACATATTCTATGATATTCTGGGTTGGGTTACTTTGAAGTCTTATCCCATCTTTGTTTGAAGACACAAGTACCAGTTTTGTCTTTTACTTAAAGATCCAATTCTATGACCAGTCATCCTCTCTATGGTGTCTAATATAGAAAGAATGATGAAAATGAAAGCTAGTGTTCACCAAGCCAAGGAACAGATAAGAAGTTTCATACTGAGTCTCTTCTCTACTTTTTATTTTCACATAACTGGATATGTTAGATAAATTTGATGTACTATTAGATTTGTTGTGGCACATCTTATTGTCATATTTCACATATATAAATATTTTCTTTGCTTGAATTTTAAATTATCATTTGTATGCATTTTCCCTCATGTTATAATAAGGATAGCAATCACTTTAGCTTATGTTATATATTTATAACATTATTTAAATGTCTATAAAATTTTGATATGTAATAATTAGATATAAAGTAAGTAAACTGCTACAGATTTAGACTGGATGTTTCTATCTTTTCAGACCAGAATTGGAAGAAGAACGAAATGCTCTTATTCTTCAGTCTGCAGCTAATAAGAAGCAACTAAAAGACATAGAGACAAGAATTTTAGAAACATTATCATCCTCAGAAGGGAACATTTTAGAAGATGAAAGTGCAATTCAAGTCTTAGACTCTGCCAAAATTATGTCAAATGAGATAACAAAGAAACAGCAGGTAATATAACCTACAAATGTTTTAATTGTAATAATTTAATTGTATGCCTCAAGTCTCTGAGAAAAATGCTAAGTAGGCTTCCTGGAAAAGAAAAAGAACTGATAAAATACAAAAGAAAAAAGAAAAGAAAAAAAAGAAACCAGAAACTTTATTCTCCTAGAAGAATATCTCACTGTTGAATTACTCAAAACTTGGGATGATATACATGACTTCTATACATAAAAAAAATCAACTTAGGATGAAATTTTTAAATTTATTTATTTGTAGTAACTAGGTAAGACAACCTAGTCAGGTTCATTTAAGTTTTAGTTGATTCTTCACTTAATAATCAAATTTGTCAACTTGTCTTGCTTCTGTTCGTGGTTAGACTCTAAGGTATGTGGAGAAATTTAGTTGTTGAAAGGATAGTAAATGGTTCTAGGAACCAATAAGATGTTCTTGTCACGTGGTTATCAGAGAGAGGACTGGGATGTGAGAGTGGCAGGTGGAGGAAAGATGGCAAGTAGTCTATAGCCAGTAATATGTGCATTGAAGATTCATCTAACACAACTAAATCCTGTTTTTATACTGCTTTTTATAGAATCACAGTACTATGAGTAGAAGAGACCATAGGTAGCTGTTCTCCTTTCTACTTTATAGGTGAGAAAACTAAGCCTTAAAAAAGTTAGTTGAGGCTCCTCTTTGCACAGTTAAATGGTATTGCAGAATGACATCTGTGGGCTAACTTTGTTGATTTTTAAGTCTTCCAGCTCGCATTGTTCCCACCCTATATGTTAGGTACTCCTTCACTTTTGGGTAATTAAAACATAAAAAACAACCAGAACAGAACTAAGGTTGTACTTGATATTTTTCCAATACCAGTTCCACTATGAGGCAAAGAATTTTTGAAAGGTTTAGGTACCCTTCCCTTGGATAGGTTTAGTTTCAGAGAGTGACAGTAAAGAGTCTTTCTGGTTATATATATATATATATATTTTTTTTTTTTTTCCAAGTTTTGGGAGAACCAAAGAAATGAAGTGTTAGAGTAATAGTTCATGGCAGCCTTCATTTTGGATGATGGTTGAGATTTTTATACACATACATACTTTAAGAATTTTTTCTGTATGCCAGTCCCACTTCTGGGGCACAGTGAGATGGTGATTGAGACTGGGCGTGGTGGTGGGCACCTGTAATCCCAGCACTTGGGAGACTGAAAACAGGTGAATCACTATGAGTCCAATCTACATAGTGAGACCCTGTAGACCTTGTAGATCCTGTCCTAGATACACTAAAAAAAAAAAAAAAAAAGAATTTGTTCTGTAGATGTCAGAATAGTTTCCTGTGGTTTAGTGATTTAGAGTTTTATGAATTTGTGAGAATTATAAACTATTTAAATACTATATGCCTGGAAGTTTTTACAAATAATGAATTATTTTCATTTAGTATCACTGCATATACTGCTCACAAGTGTTTATTTCTTGGGAAATGTCTTGTTTTTAGATTTAAAGACATTAACACTAAATATTTTTAAAGAATATTGCTCAACTCCACAATTTCATACTGAAGATTCAAGTTTAACAAACATTATAAATATATTACTGATTAAGCCATGGAAGATGAATTAAATTATTCACTATTTGAAAATAATAGCTATGTTTATTGTTTGTTTTTACTTGCTATTTTTATTATTGGTAAAATGGAATTTGAGTTTTAAAAAAGCATGTTTAAATGTTTTGTACATAAAATACTTACTGAAGTTTAAGACAGATTTAAAGTTTACTTTTATACTTTAAAATATATATATATTTAGTGTAGGGTCTCACTACATAGATTGGACTCATAGTGATTCTCCAGTTTTCAGCCTCCTAAAGTGCTGGATTACAGGCACACATCACCATGCCCAGTCTCTGTCACTGCCTCATTGTACCCCAGGGGCAGGGCTGGCACGGCACATGGGGGATGGAACCCCAGCCACTGCACTCTGCCTAAGCAGGGATTGAACTCAGGCCCTTGTGCTTGCCAGGGAAGCGCTTATTCCACTGAGCCATCTCCCCGGCCCCTTTATATTGAATACTTTGAGAGTGTTTCTTTGCAAGGAAAAGAAACCTACTTAAATTAGCTATACTGCAAAATACACATGGGAATATTCTATATTTTCATGTATAAGAACTATATCAAGGCCCGAAGGATGAATGAATATATTTGTATGCTGTCTTCTCTTACGGATCTTCTGTGCTTCTCTCTGTGTTTAAATACCCATTTCTTCTGTAAAGCATTTCTGTCTGCCCACTTTTCTAACATGTAGGCACCACTGAGAAAAATTCATATTACCTTTTAGCAATAATGTTCAGCATGGCCTGACTTCAGTTTCTCTCTCTCTCTCTCTCTCTCTCTCTCTCTCTCTCTCTCTCTCTCTCTCTCTCGTGGTACCAGGGATTGAACTTGCTAGGCAAGCGCTTATTCCACTGAGCTCTCTCTCCAGCCCTGACTTCAGTTTCTGAAGTGTTGTTGTTGTTGTTTGTACCAGGAATTGAATTCAGGACCTTGCACTTGCCAGGCAAACACTCATGCCGCTGAGCTCTAACCCTGGCCCAGTTTCTGGAAGTTCTTAAAGTTCCACTTTTCCAGGGAATTTGAGTTGCCTTGGGCCTTGTTCTGTCCCTACCACCTGGCTGAATCAGTTACAAATAGGATCATACAGCAGAAATATGATAAAATCATAGCACAGATGTCTTTCTTTAGCAGAGGCAATAGATAGCACTATCAAAAAAGGTCAGCAGCTAGAACAGCGCTCTGAACAACTTCCCTGTAGAATACTAACCTATCTGATTGAGTTGTCAAGTGAACAACTGTCTATCTGAGACAAAATTATTTTCTGGGGTTGAATATTTATAACTCTATTAGGTCCAGAAAGATTTAGGAGAAACTAGTTGAAAAAATATTCCCAATGTATAAAACTATCAAGCCCCTTATGGTTACTATGACAGAATTTACCCTGGATTCTGATTCATGTGTTAACCCCTTAAACACAATAAATGCACACTTCCTCTCACTCACTGTCCTTTCCCTCCTCTGGCTCTGACCCATTAAAGCAAGAAAGGGTGAATAAGTAGCAGACGTGTCAGATTCAGATAAAGAATGAGATTTATAGCGCTAATATTCCTCAAATGAAAGAGAAATGATTGCTAGTCATACCCTGAATGTATAAAGTACAGGGTTTTTTCCTCCTCTCTTCCATCTTTTCCTTCCTTGCCCCTCCCCCACCTTAGTTCTTTTCTTTCATGTTTTAAGCATAATAAAGTTCTCTTTGATTAACTGTGCTTAAGTCATATAGTTTTGTCATGAAGTCAGGGGCTGGGTTTTTTTTTTAAAATAGAAACTATATTATTAAAACACATCTTCCATTTTTAATCATAATTTCTCTCTTCTAGATTGCAGAAAAAACAGAACTCAAAATAGCAGAATCTCGAGAAGGTTATAGGCCCATTGCTAAACATTCATCAGTATTGTTCTTCAGCATTGCAGACCTGGCTAACATTGATCCTATGTACCAGTATTCTCTCATCTGGTTCGTGAACCTTTACATCAACTCCATTCATGACAGGTGAGCATTCTCTCACTCCTTCAGACTGCAGAGATGAATTTTTTTCAGCAGTGGGACCCAGGGCCTCACACATGCCAGGCCAGCACTTGCCACTGAGCTGCATCCCCAGCCCTTCAAGGTTGGGTTTTCATCATCCTTTCTATTTAAAAATATAATTTTTGTTTCTAATTATTTGTAATATATGTTTATTATAGAAATTTAAAAGATGAAAAGTGATACAGGGCCAGGGAGATAGCTCAATAGAATAAACGCTTGCCTGGCAAGTGCACGGGCCTGCGTTCAATCCCTGGTTCCACCAAAAAAAAAGAAAAAAGAAAAAAAACCGAAAAGTGATAGAAAAATGAAAGAAAAAAAGAAAAAAACAAGAGCTAATTGATGCCTTCCTATTTAGGCTGTTTAGCTTCTTAAGGTTTCCACGTAAAGGGTATCAGCTTCAGTCATCTTTGTTTTTCCTGCCTTTTAAACATTTCAATGAAGAACATGATTTATTTCTGTTGGCAACTCCAGTTTCTTTCATCAGCTTTGAAACGTTTTAAGAATTCAGTTTCACATGTCTATTAGTTTGCAAGCTTATTGAATACACACAGATTTTGGATTCTAGAATTTAATCTCAGGGTTTTTTGTTTTACGGTTTTGTTCTGTTTCTGTGGTTGTTTTGTTTTGAACCATGCGACTGAGGTTGGCTTTGAACTCACTTGTAGCCCAGGTTGGCCTCCAATTCACAGCTATGCTCCTGCCTCAGTCTCCCAAGTGCTGGGATTACAGGTGTGTGCCACCATGCCCGGCTTTATCTCAGTTGTGCCACATACTGGCTAGGTGACTACAAACAAGTCAGCTAATCTTTTGATTGCCTTAGTTTTTGTTATCTATAAGATAGGAATTATAATAATAGTACCTGTCTTTTAGGGTTATGAGAATTAAATGAAATAATATTTAATAAAATGTTAATAATTGTGGCTGGTATTTTGTAACTGCTATCCTTGTTTTTTTGTATTTTGGGGGAAGGGTCTACAGGGTGTTCAGGATCTCACTGCTAGATCAGAGTCATAGTGATCCACCTGTTTAGAGACTCCCAAGAGCTGGGATTACAGATGTGCCACCATGCCCAGTCTCAATTGCCGTCTCAGCATGCCCCAGGGATAAAACCCCAGCCCCTGCACATGTGTGCAGACATTTTAATCCGCTAAGCTATTTGGCCGGCCCATAACTGCTATCCTTGCTAAGTAAAATAGTATGAAGGAAGTTCAAGTTGAAAAATTAACAAGAATGTCAATAATAAGATTCATTGGGGCTATGAAATAATTGTAACACTCATATACTTCTACTGAGGTTTTAAAATAGTGTAGCCAGAGCCAGCAAGATAGCTCAGCAGTCTAAAGTGCCTGCTTAGGTAGGTTAGCCAAGAATTCAGGGACCCCGGTTTGATCCCTGGCCCCACATGCTGAGCTGGCCACAAAAATAAATAAATAAATAAAATAATGTAGCCACAATGGAAGTCAAAATACTAAAAGATTTACTGTATAACCCACCAATTCCATTTCTCATGTAGGTGTATGCTTAAGAAAACTGAATGCAATTGTCAACACAAAAACTAATTTTTTATTGTTTTTATAAAAAAAAAAATACTATATTCAAGTGTTACTTGGGTTAGTTTGTTGCCCTTGCAGTGTGTTACGTGAAATACAGTTGGGTTCAGTTGTCATCTTTTATATTCTATTTCAGGGTTTTCCCTCGTCCTTACTAACTTTCTTATAAGTTTATCAAACCATTAATGACTCCAACAGTTAATCCTATGCAAAAAGGTTTTTGAGAGAAATGTCGCTACTTCCAGCCCTTCAGTTCCATTTCCACAGACCCAAGTACTATTTTTATATATCAAAATTTAGGGAGCTAGCTCAGTAGAATAAGTGCTTCCCTGGCAAGCGCAAGGGTCTGAGTTCAATCCCTGGTTTCGCCAAAAAAAAAAAAAAGAAAAAAGAAAAATGTAGTTTCACATGTAATTATAAGAAAGAGTAGAGGCTGAGGAGATAGCTCAGCAGTCTTAAGTATCTGCCTGGCAAGTGCAAGGACTCAAGTTCGATCCCCAGTACTACACGCCAAGCTGCATGCCACCATGCAGGCCACCAAAACCAGGTGTGGTGGTGCACACCTACAATCC